TCACCCCGAATCTGACTTGACTTTGCAGGGTCGGTTCTCACAGTCACAAGCTGCCTAGTTGCTTCCCTGACAGCACCTTGGCTTCCTGTGAATAGTTTTCAGAGGCCTAGACACTGGGAGTAGCACGGCCACTCTGGGCTCATCTGTTTCAGGAGACAGAAGGACAGAGAGCATTCAGAGAGTCAGGAAAATGATTCCAAGAACACTTCTGCCTCTATCTTTTCTCCTGCCTGCGCCTGCCCATTCTCACAGAAGGACTATAAATGTGTTAGCCCTTAGAGCACCTTACCAGGCTTTCTGAATAGGCCCACCTGAGCCCCACTGACAGCCCTGAAAGGGGATTGAATTTCAGCCAAGAAAAGCCCAACTGTCGGCAGAACAGAGAGTTAGCGAGGGCATGCCCTGGTATCAGCTTACCTGCTGTACAATGCTGGCAAACCATGGCAGCCTCGGACCACTTAACTCCTTCCTTCTTCATTGCTTCTTTTCCTTTTCTGTCATTCCCATGATAGTCTTTTCTGTTTCACTCCTCCCAACCCAGCTAGTGTTGCGGAATTTGAAGAGCTTGAAAAGACCCATGTCATCTAGCCCAGGGCATCCCGAACCCTGGCAAAACCACTGAGGAGGTTTTTTCACAGTATGATTCCTAGATGCCACCTCATACTCAGAGTGGTAAACAACTGTTGCTTTTGTCTGCCGGGGCATGGCTTTCTTCAGAATGTCTTTAGGGGGCTCTTTCTTCCCAACTCCATGTGGTTCTACTAGGGCTACCAACTCTGCATTGTGTGTCTCCCTAGAAATGATTGGCCCCAAGATAGGCACGTGGTCCAAACTGCGCCGGAGTTGCTCCCTGGGATGTTAGACTCAGGAAGAAAGATCAAACAAAGTGTCTCTTCCCCCTTGGATAACTAGTTGAAAACACAGTGCTTATTCCCTGCAAGGTGGTGGCCCTGTTTCCTGCCAACTAGGAGAAACTTGTCTGCAGTGAGGGAAGATGAGAATCAGAGAGTTCCGACAATATTTGCTAAGTCCTGAGGTAAACTCCCCAGTCTCTTATGTTCATAAGTTCCTTTGCTCTGCTTAAACTAGTTTTAATCAAGTTTCTGTCCCTTGCAACCAAGAGTGTAGGGAATAAATTGAAGCAGGAGTTCAAGGGCTGGACAAGAGCATCTGAAATTTTTACAGATGTCCATGAACTTCTGATGTATGGCTAGATTTAGGATACTCTGATAGACCAACCCCTCAGTCTATAGGGAAAAAGTTGAGATCCACATAAGGGCTTTGATATTAGTGAGGTAGAATTTAGGACCCAATGTAAAGAGAGGTACGTATATTATTTTATTTGATCCTTGGAATATCAATTTGCGTTTACTGTTTACTACATCCATTTACTTGTTTACTGTATCTGTTTTATCTACAGTTGTATATCCTCACCTATCACGGTGCCCAGAACATAATAGGAGCCAACTACATACTTGTTGAATATCGAATAAAATTCACAGATTAATATAATTACTATTAGTAGCAGTAGAATAGTAGTAGTAGCAGTATTGCTAACATTTACGGAGTGTTTATTTTGTGCTAGGTACTCTTCCAAGTTCTTTTTAAATATTGTCTCATTTACTTATCTGAAAAAGCCTGTAATGTAGGTTTCTATTATCTTTCATTATAACGAGAAAACTGAGACAAAGAGATGTGCAATAATTTCCCTAAGGTCACATAGCTAGTAAGTAGCAAACCAAAGATTCAAACCCAGGCAATCTGGCTCCAGAGTCCCAGTTCACAACTATTACGCTACACTGGTTTAATTAACTTACGCAGAACAACCCAGATGCTGAACAGCAGGTGCAGAATTTGGGCCTAGGTCTGTCTGACTGCAGAGTCTTCACTCTTTAACCACTAGCCTATATTTCCTCTCTGTGGTTAATTGTCTGGCAGTTCACAGTAGTTCTGCTAAATGGTGCCCCCCGGGTTGCACACCAATCTGCATGGCTCTTTGTGGCAACCTGCATACTATGACTAGAAACCAAGGAACCTGACTTCTAGATATGAGCAGGCAGGTGTGACCAAAAACAAGGCTCATGAAACCTGTCTGAAACCAAGGTGCAAATGTTAGCCTGCTGTGTCAGTTTGGGTACTGCAGGAAGCAGATGCCGAGATGGAATCAGAAGTGTAAGGGTTATTAGGGGAAATGCCTATGCAGGAAAAAGGGAAGAGAGAGCAAGAGTAGGTGGGGAGAGTCTCAGACCACAAGGAAGTTCTGATACCTGTCAAGGGAGAGGTAAGAAAGGAAGATTAGGTAGAAAGAGTGTCCAGTTGCAGCAAAGCTCTAAGGAAATCTGGGGAAGGTGACAGAAAGCCCAGGTCAGTAATTGCCAGTAGAGGAGTCCAGCACTGGGCAGAAATGGGCCAGCTGCCGGATACCTTGCTTAGTCATTGCCAGGAATAGCCCAGAGAGAGCATGGCCTTGGCATAAATGATCCCAGAGGAGGACAGCAGGAAGCAGTCAGCCAACCACATTCCTCCAAGCTAGTTCTCTTGAAAGGAGATCTAGACAGTGCCTTCTCATGGCCGCCACACCTGTGTACCATGAATTAAACTCCTCCTAAGGAAACACCAGGGAACCAACCACAGGAGATAAGCAGTCACTGTCCATTGTCTACACTGCTTCTCACATGTAATTAACAAAGCTGAGTATGTTTTTTTTTTTTTTTCCTCAAAACATGTTGGTTTGGCCTTACTAAAAGAGTCCACTCATTTAGTGAAAAATATGTTTTCCTGAAGAGGGGTGGGTAGGGCATTTTCTCATTTATTTTTCTACCATGGACATATTTGAATTGCCACAAAGAAGTTACTATGGAAACTGCTCTCGAACTTGCAAGATAAAAGGTAAAAATGGAACAATTTGTTGACGGGCAAATGGTTAGTCTCTGGAGACCACTTTTTAACAAACTCTCCTGGTCTGGTTTTTCTGAGTCCTTTAGGGGTTCCCTTGAATTAAAGGTGGACATTTATAGTCTAGATGGCCCCAGCTGACTGTGAAAATCTCATAGGTGACATCTCTGGAATAAGTCTGGGTACACCCAAACTTGGTGTTGGAATGAGCAAACGAGACAATAACATTGTATTCTTTGGATAACTCTGGTGAGGTTGACTATGCACAGCTGTGAACACACAAATAGGCCAGGGCAGGGAAGGTGGTTGTTTTTGTGCCAGGCCCATTCTGCAGGTGCACTCTGGACTCCCTTGTTTGAAAGTTAACTTGCTGAGCTCTTATTTATGCAAAGTAGTTTCTGTTTCTTATCTCCTCTGGCCACATTCCATCCTTTGAATCTTGGGCTGGATAGTTCTTTCAACATAAAACACAAACTTCTCATTTGAAAGCCCTATTCCTCTACTAATCTCTGTTTATCTTTACCTGCCCCTCCCCACCTACCTCTCCAACTCACTTTGTGTCAGCCTAAGCACTCCCATCTTGACAAAGCTCTGAGATAACTTTGTCTTGGTTTCTGCTTTTTGTACTTTTTTGCCCGTCAATTCCCTCAATTTGATTCTCTTGGGGCCTTAATCCCAGAGCCTTACTGAAACCCCTTCCAAAACTGCTTTCAGTAATTCAGTGGATACTATTTGGAGAGGTGGTTTGACTTGAGGGATCAGAGGTTCTGGGTTTTTTTGTTTCTGTTTTTTTGAAATGTGGTCTCCCTACATTTCCCAGGCTGGTCTTGAACTCCTCAAGCTATCCTCTGCACTTAGCCTCCCAAGTAGCTGGGATTACAGGTGTTCAGCTAGGAGCCAGCTCCTAGGTTCTTAATTTGAGATTATTATTACCTAGCTTCATGACTAGCAACCATCAATTTCACGTCTTTGAGAATCAGAGTCTTCATCAGTTCCCTCTACCAAGAATTCTTTTCTTGCAGATCGTTTCATGTGGTCATCTTCTTTTTATCATTCAAGTTTCAGTTTAAATACAATGTCCTCAGAGAGGCCCTAAACATTTCCTAGTATTATTTCCCTTTGACATTATTCTCTAAATACCATCTTGTTTTCTCCTAGCACTTTCTATCTGCAATTATCTCAGGTATTTCCTTGATTATTATCTGTTTCCTCCAATGACCTTTAACCTCCAAGAGAGCTAGGGCCCCAGCTGTATTCCCTACTTCTGGCACATAAAAGATGCTCAATAAATATTTGTAGAATGAAAAGAACTGTAAAATTTAAGCAGTTGGACCAAATGAAATTTAAGTTTGCTTGAAGCTTTACTGTGAACGTTGATAAAAATGAGTAAGTGAAAAATGAAGTGATGGCAGCCAGTGCAACAAAACACTCAAAACAGTGTGTATAATGTGTAGAACCCAAACTTGCCAAGTTCTTGGGTGCATGATATACAATATACATATGTGTATGTGTCTATGTGTGTATATATTGTGTTGTCTTTCTAGTTTCCCATGGAGCGTGAACTGAGTTTCTGAGGTTTATAACAAAGTATCTAACAAGGGTATCTAGTAGGGGGTCTATAAAATCATTGTATCAGAATTAGAGTGGAAAGGATTTAGAATACAACTTATTCAATGTACAGGACTGGAAACTAAGGCTTAGAGATTTAAGTGTATTTGGACATTTGGAAATAAATACAGCGTTGTATCTGTCAACGAGGAATACATACGCCATTCACACTTCCGTGTAATCATTACTAATAACAAAACAATACTTGACTTTTGAAAAGAACTTCTGAGTGTGGCTAGATCCTACATCAGTGGTCCTGAAACTTGAGTGTGATCAGAAATCTCCTGGAGAATTTGTTAAAGCACAGATCGTTAGGCCCCACCCCCAGAGTTTCGGGTTGAGTAGTTCTAGTGGCGGGGACGCGGCAAGCTTAAGAGAAACCATCCCATCTTGGCTCAGCGGATCCACTCTGGCAACTTAACCGGCCCGCCCGGAACACAGAGAGAACTACAAGTCCCGGCGTGCCTCGCGCGCAGCGGCGGAAAGCTGGGCACTTCCGCTCCACGCAGCGCCTCTGCCGCCGCGTCTCGACGTGTCACCGGCGGCGGGGCGGCTGTGGTAGGGGAAGGAACTGACTGGGGGAGTTCAAGGTGGTGGGCGGCTGCGACCCCAGCCTGGACTTGCCCCGACACGGAAGTGTCCCGGGGTCCGTGGGAAGCAGGAAAGGGAGGCGGCGGCCCGGCCCGCGCGGGGCACGATGTTGAACATGTGGAAGGTGCGGGAGCTGGTGGACAAAGCGTGAGTATCGGGGGCAGTTGTGGCCGAGGCCCACGCGGGGGAGGGGGGAAGGGGTGAAAGGGAGCTGGCCCTGCGCGGGGGGCTTTTCGCGTCACGCCCCCCGACTCAGCCAGTGCCATCATGGCGGCTGCCGGCTCCCTCCGCGACCACGGGCCTCGTCCCCACGGGAGAGGCTGGGGAGGGACCCCTCTCTCATTTCAAAACGTCCTCTTACCCCCCCTTCCCTCCTATCCAGGCCTTCCTGTCCCTGCCCCTACCTCAACTCCTGGGTGCGGACGTTTTGGTCAGAGGAAGGGGCGGGTTGTCTGGAGTTGGGTCACTGCCCTGGCCGGAGGACTGTCTTGGCCCCAAGCTGTGAGCTTTGCCTCTTGGGGTGCTAGGAAGGTTTGAGGGTTGGGGACGCAATGCACCTGTCCTCTGTGTCCCTCAGGGTGTGGTACGGAGAGACCTTAGGCCTGGTTGGGATATGTCTTTTACCTTGCTGGGCTGCTTTTAATTCCTAATGAATCTGAAGTGTTGGAGTGGGTGGTAGGTGTAACAAGTGGCCATTGTGGTCGGGCTGAAGTTACTCAAGAGGAGACTCATCCTTTGCTTTTCTAACACTAGTGAAAGTAGATCATATAACTTCTTGTGGTTCTTTTCCTCTGTTTCCCTTTCCACTACACTTCATTTTTGGTGGGCTACTTGTTCCATTCGGTTTAATTAAGAAGTCATTATGAAATTTCCCCTAAAGAAGAAAACAACCCAAATTGACATCCTGTTGATCTGCTTTTAACTTCCCTGACAGGTAAAATGATCAATGCATGGTAGATTTCCTTTAAGACTGAAATAATTTTAGTGTCTTACTGCACTAGGAAAACCTTAACATTTAAATTCGTTAGATCAGATATAACAGTGGTTAAATAAGGTCTTCTAGGTCAGCAGGAAATAAAGTTTAAACATTTAACCAGTCCTCTTCCTTCTGGGTTTTAGTGATTATGCAATAAGTGTGGTGAAAAAACAGTTCCTTCGTGCCACCCACCTTAACCTAAAATCAGGAAGTGTAGATGGCAAACTGTTTTCTTGACACCAGAAAACAAAATAATTCTCAGTGGCTTGGATAATACATCAGATAGAACTTAGAGTTTGACCGTATTTTCAAGTTTTTCTGTGCTATCAAGAAGGCTGTAGAATGCCTACGGAGCATGGGTTTCAGAACCTGTAGAAGCTGGGTTCAAGCTGTGTTCTGTAACCTTGGGCAAGTTACTCGACCTCACAGGGCCCTAGTTTTCTTGGTGCAAAATGAAAATGCAGTAATGATACCTAGCTTAGAATTTCGTTGTGAGGATTAAGGGCTAAGAGTTTAGATTGCATAGAAGGCCATTAACGCAATATGTTTAAATCAGTATACTTTTGAAAGTATAGCAAATGTTCTGCATTTAGAGTGGGATAAACTATTAAGGGAGAAGCTCCAAGTTTGAAAAATGATTTGCTTTAATAATTTTCCAACTATTCATTTCGCCAGTAAGCCTTCAGATACTAATTTTCAACTGTTTTGCTATTTATATACCCTTGGCTTTTGCTTACCAAAGATGAAATAAAATAATGATTCTTTTCCAGATCCAGGTTCATTGTATACTGATTTAATATATTGTGTATAGACTAGGATACTGACTTAGTTTTTAGAAGTCCAGAAGAAGACCTTACGAAACTACCTCTTTTTTTTAAGTCAGAGGACAGCAGATGAAAACCACTAAGAAACACCTTGTTATCTTGGAGAATTAGATTTGTGATACCCAAAAATTTGAAGAGGCTGTACATTTTTCAGAAGATAGAAATCAAGGCAATATTCCTGCTCTTGTTGCTCTTTTCATATTTGTTTGTTTTTATCACCTATGTTACTAATCTTCAAGTACTTCAGGTTGAATTTGTTGTGTAAGTAGTTACCAGGTCATCTAATAGACAAGCTCTTGTTGAAAAATAACATCCATTTCCTTTTTCACTACACAATTTAGGATGTAGATTTGAACGAAGTTTTTCAAGAACATATAAGAATGTTACCACCAAGGACTTTTTAAAGCTTTCGTGGGTGTCTGACACATATTAAGATTAGAACATGAGGTTATTTTACTGATGAGTATTCAGGATTTAATTTTCATCTTTCACTGGCAAGAAGAGAAGAAGTTCTTCCCCTAAAATGTAAGCATCTTGCAGAACCATGTAGCAGTGGCATTGTGTCCAGTTAGACTGTGCGCCTTAAAATGCCATAATGGAGACGAAGCAGATCCATAGAGTGGCTGCTATGATTATCAAAGGGGTAAAATGATAAGGACACTTGCAAGTGAAGAAACAATGAGGTGATTAAGGATTGCTCTGATATCAATAGATACGAGGGCTTGTATAATAGAGCACTGGTTGGGGGTTTGGATGTCTGGGTTCAAATTCTGACACTGCCTTTTATACCAGTCATATGCATGATTTTAGGCAGAACCACATGAATTTCCAGACTTTGGGTTCCTTATCTGTAAATGAGAGGACTGGGCTAGAATAAGACTTTTTCCAGCTTTGTTGGCTATTTGAAGAAATGAGTTTCCATTAAGGAGAAATATTTAGAACTGTTATTTCACAATGGCAGACAAATTTTGGAAAGTCATTATCCTTCAGAGACAATTTAGGCTGGAAAGGGAAATATTCTTAAAAAGTAGAAATCAATAAATATTGTATTTGAATGTTTTATACAATAGATACAGCCCATGACTCAGGAAAACTAGGACTTTTAGTTATATATCCTTACCCAATGAGGTTTACTTCAGAAAGAAAAATGTACTCTTTCAAAATGTTTTTCTTGAGCCTCTCTTAGATTCAGTAGGTTAGCAGTTTTTAAGTATGTATAATGATATATTTCAAACGTTGGCTTTGGAAGCCTTGAAGACTTTCTGGAAGTGGGGGAATATTTTCCACAATTATTGCACCTCCTGGTGGTATTAAATGGATCTGTTTTGCAGAACATTGTGGAACTACAGGAAAGCAGATAAAGCCATAGGCCAGCCAGAGTTCGGAGTGCCAGTTTCCTCCCACTTGTAGTCAAGTTGCATAGAAGGCAGCTGTGGCAGGAAAGGATAAGTGGCACCACTCCTACCAGCTAAGACTAGCTTGACCATTGTTATCCTATGACCTGTCTCCCTTTATTTGAAGCTGTAATAAAATTGACCATGTTTATATTTTGTCATCTCATATGTGGTATAAATTGAAAATTGCTGCAGTTCTGTTTCATTTTCTTTCCAAATTTGGGGAGTGTAGTGAAGGTGACACAGTAGTAGCAGATCAAAACTACTTATTGTTCAAACCCAGCTAACCCTTCTCTTTCCTTGCAGAGAGTAATATTAATGGTAAATCTATTTTATCAGTGGCCCTTTTTCTTCTTAGGATAGTGATTCAAACAGCTCTGGCTGGGTTCCTAAGGCAGCTGTTGTAGATAATCCATTTTATAATAAGTTATTCTCTTAAGCATAACTTGCATTTTTCCCCCATAAGTTGATTTTTGTTGGTGTATATTTGCTTCTTTTTAGTTCCTAAATATTTAGCTAATGTAACAGAACTGTGGAAACTACTGTTCTACTCTCTCTGACCTCATAAGGAGAACCTTTTATAGAGAATAACACGCTCAGTTATTTCAACAGGTAACACATTTATTTATTGGATTAGTACTCTATTTTCTGAACTCGAAAAATATAATAGGTGCCTTTAAGAACCTTGCTACTTTAAGTATGCCACACCTTGAACTTATTATTGATTTTACTTTTCTTTCACTCCTCAGATGTCTTTCCCCTTATTTTCCTTATCTTACAAGTAAATCTCTGTTCAGTTTGCTTCTTGGAACTTGAAAGCAAAGATAATTGTCAGCTTCTAATCTTCCCATATCAGCTTTTCTCTGAACCAGTTGTATGTAATTGTTATTACTGAAACAAGGAATTAATTATCCTTCTTCTTTTCTAGTAACTGGACACAAGTAGATATTAAGAATTTAATTCCAAAGAAAGATGAGTTTAATTTATCTTCTGCCAACATTTCTTAATGGTGGTTTTCTGTAGTTTAAATTATTCTGTTTAGTACTACTGTCAAGGTGCTTTTAAAAAGCACTTAGCTGCCTCTTATGTTTTCCTGTGCCCTTTAGTATTAGTTTACAAGTAGTATTTCATCTGTTTACTGATATGGCCACTAAAAGTACTTAGCCTTTTTTATTTTAAGTACCACTTACTAGTACTTTTAATTTTTTTACAGTCCGGCTCCACTGTTGAATCTTTTTCTGTACTCCTGTATTATTTTCTTACTCATTTCCAATGTTTATTTAATATTTCCTTTAAGAGAAAAGAAAGCATATAGGTTCCTAACTATTTTAATCTTCTGGAAGCTTTGTTATTTTACTTTTCATAGTTAGATCTACCATCTAGGTGGAACTTATTTTTTTAGTTTTTATTATGCAACATTTTAAATATATCCAGAAATGGATGGACTATTCTAATGAATTTCTGTGGACACATGACCCAGCTTCAACAATTTAGCTAATCTTGTGTGAGCCGTATTCCCAACTACCACCCCCATTCCATATTTTGAAGTAAATCCCAGAAACCTATCATTTCATCTATTAAACATATCAATCTCTAAAAGGTAAGGAGTCATCTTTTTTGACCATAACCACAATACCATTATTATACCATAAATAAAAGGTAATTGCTTGATATTAAATGTCCAGTCACTATTCCTTTCTCACTTGCCTCGTAATTCCTTTTTGATATTTCTGACTGATACATCTCTTGATTCCCTTAATCTATAGGTTCAACCTCTGTCCTCTCTTTTCTTCCCCCTCACAGTTTATTTGTTGAAGAAACTGGGTTATTTGCATTTCTTTCAATCTGGATTTTACTAATTACATCCCTATGGTGTTATTTAATTGTTCTTCTATTCTCTGCATTTCCTGTAAAGTGATAATTATATCTAGTCACTTAATCAAATTCAAATTC